TTTTTTTTTTTTTTTTTTTTTTTTTTTTTTTTGGAGGAGTTATTTCTACTGTAAGCATATGCCGTAGGAAATTCACATTTGGTATTTTTGCAGTATGAAAACGACTTCTTCTTTTACAGTTAATTCAATGACGCTCGAAACGACATTTGATTCTACAGATGTTCCGAGAAGTCGGCTAATTCAAAACTCCGAGCTTTCGTCGTCGACTCCTCACCGTTAGTAAATAATGTTAAATTCTTGAAAGATTTACGTAGTGAGATGCTTTGGATGAAATCCTGTTATCGACTTTAGGTTGGCATCAGTTTGGTTAAGGCAACTTACCATTAATGCTAACTCCAAGTTTTTTGCATGGTTATTTTGCATGCTATCTTCCTAACTAATTTTTTCGTCTCATTTATTTATTTTTCAGTTTTAAACGCTTAACTTTGAGTTCTTTAGCAGTGTTTTACTTTTATTTTGTTTACTGAAACACTTATTTACATAAAAAACTTTTTTATTATATATTCTGAAGGTTTTGTAGGGTTGCGGACTTACATTTTGGCAAAATTTTCTCTCACAAGATAATTTAGTTGTTCGAGCTCGTGAATTCTGATTTTTTTATGTCCTATTTTTTACTTTCCTTTCCAGTCAACACTTATTTGCTTATGAACCGGCGCCTCGCAGTTTGTGGCTGCAAGGTTCAATTTTTTTCTTGCATGTTTGTTGAAGCTTTTTGCTGTCGCACAAGTGTGCAGAGTTATCATATGTTTTGGGTCGCGCATCTGAAGAGCATTCGAGAAATGACGTAAATCCTGTTGGATCTGGATTTCAACGTAGTAAATCCGAGAGATTTACAACAACACTGCGTAAGACGTTACTGCCCAGAAGTATGTTTGTTCGTGCACTTCTTTTCTTTTTTATTTTTATACTTTTTTACCGATTTATTTCAGTTCTTTACATTAAAATATTCTTGAGACGAATCTGTTAATTATGATAAATAGTAGTTTCATTTACTTAATTTTTTTTGGCTTGTTTAGCTTTTTGAGGTTTCATTTTTTTTTTTTTTTTTTTTTTTTTTTTTTTTTT